CGCTGCAGGTGTGGCCCCTCCTTCGGCGCCGGCGACGTGGTCGGGTGCGGACTCGACTACAGCGTCGGGGGCGACGCAGCCGACATCTTCTTCACGCTCAACGGAGAGCTGCTGAACGGAGGTTCCGCCGCATTCCGAGGGGTGAGGGGAACCTTCTACCCCACCGTGGGGGTTGACTCGGCATGCCCGGTACGGATCAACCTCGGGGGGGAGCCGTTCAGGTTCGACCTCGCGGCAGCGCTGCGGAAGGGGGGGCAGGAGGCGACGGCTCGGGAGGTATGTGGCGTGGATCGGGTTGCGTTTGTCGTGTGTATGGGGTGTGGTGTGGATCGGGTGGCGTGTGTCGTGTTATGGTTTGGGGGAGAAGGAGGAAGCAGCTGGGCCGAGAGCGCGGGGGGGGGGGGGGCAAGAGAAAAAGAGAGTGAGAGAGATGAGGAGGGAAGCGAAACACGCAGGTAGACATAAGAGCCTAGCTAGCGTTGGCGTGGAGACTTGCAACCAAATATACGCTCACTGATGTGTGTTAACTGTTTTTCGATCCCATCGCTTGTGGCGTAGCTGACCCCCCCCTCGCCACCCCTCGCTCCGTGACCCGTCCCTCCCACCAACGTCAACGGCGACGCTGGACACAACAACACCAGTCGGTGGCCCAGCACGAGCCCAAGCGCAGCCGCACCGCAGTAGCCGCTGCTTGTGCCCCGGCGGCGGGCGAGGGAGCGCCGTCGATGCCCGCCGGTGCGAAGGCAGTGGCCGGGGCCTCGTCTTCATCGTCGTCGTTCCTTGGGCGTTCGCGGCAGCGGTCGTTGCCGCTGCCGGACGTGCTTCCGCCGCCCGCGGAGGGTCGCTCCATTAGTGGAGCTTACCCGCACGTGGCGCTGAGCTACTGAGGGGGTAGCGGCGACGGTGCAGCGGGGCTTGCTTGTCGATAGAGAGGGAGTTCCGTCCGCGCGTGGCCTGGGGGGAGCCCCGGTAGCGGTACCAGGGTTGCTTCTCGATCGGACGGGAGCTCAGCCCGTCTGTTCGTCCCTTGTAATGGCGTGTTGTACAGGCAAGAGCAGCGGCGGCGAACAGCAGTGGTAAGCGCGAGACGAATTGTTGGGAGAGTACTGACTGGACTGTTTACCCGCCGTCCCACACCAAGAGGACAATGCAACACAAGCAGCAGTCAGCCAAGGACCTTGCGTTTTTTTTTTTTGCTGCCGCGGCTGCTGCTGCTGCTGCTGCTGCTGCTGCTGCTGCTGCTGCTGCTACTTGTCAGATTTAGCGACCACCAGGTGTGTGGTCTACGTACCACATTTTTATTATCGCCGGGCGCGCGGTGTCAAACCGTCGCACTCATCGAAGCCGTGCGGTGTGGATGGCGCGTTCTTTTCTGTATGTATGTGTTTTTTATTATTAGCATTGACCGCGCTAACCGTCTGACCAATGAAAAGGCGCCAGTCTCGGTGCGGTTGAGAACACACAATGCTGCTAAAGGCCGCATGATCTGGGACCTACGTGTGTTTTGCGTTCTATTCGGGGGGGGTGGGGGGCTGCATGGCGCTATTTTGGATTTCCTTACTTACAAGTGTTTGCTGCGAGAAGAGACACAAGAATCGCTCGGTCCTTACCTTGTACATCCGTACGGTCAATGATTTTTGCGTTCTTCGTTTCCGGCTGCTGATCGAGGCAGATCGTTTTTTGTACATTTGGCAAGAGAGGATGGGACAAACGTAAATGTAGATGCGAAAACTCCACCTTTCGCTGCAGCTGCAAGCTGTTCGTCGGTGCTGCCCTGCTCATTCTTCAATGCTGTTTGGGAAGACGCGGCGTTTGTTTCACGAGCAGAATGCGCATCTTGATGTAATCACTGGTCGGTGTCTCTAAAGCCTTTGGCTTTCTAGTTGGACAGGTTCTGGCGGTCCAACGATATCAACAGGACGTCGAGATCCGATTCTACAGTTTTTCCGTAAGTCTATGAGTGAAAGGGGGGGGGGAGGGTGCTTACCCTCCTGGCGTTTTGAGAGCGCGGAGGCAGAGAGTCACCGCGGCTTTGAGGCAGGACCTCATTCCTTTTCTCATAAGTAGCATCACATGTTTGGTTCGGGCGCTCGGTTGTATTCTGTCTCCTTTGTCCGACACGTGCACGTTCGTGAGTTCGGAGAAGGGGTTGTGTACTCGCGTTACGAAGTGCCGAAGACGAGGAGCGGGCACGGATGGACTCGTGGCGATATTGCAGAGAATATGATCGTCATTTCTTGTATGTTCGGCAGATCAGATGTGATTTGCGTGCTGTCTTTTGGAAGGTTGGTGCGTGTGTCTTTTTCGAAGCACGCCCCAAGAGGCAGCCCCAGAACAAAGGCGCTTAATTTCCCGAGCCTCCGCATTGGGCGGTTGGCTTGCCTGTCGTTTGGTGTCGCGATGAGCCCCGATGAGCACAGGGGGAAGTAAAATATACCATATCAACACATTTGGGCGTGTCCGGCTTAATATCCGGCGTGCCTACTGGGAACTGGGAACGCTTCGCCCGCCTTCCTTGCGTGTTGGGGGTCCGCCAGAGGCTGGTTGTCAAGCGGTGGGTGGTCGGACGACACAGTAACGGCAACGTGAATTTCGATTTATTTTTGTGATGATGGAAGACGATCCATTGATGTGCTTCGTATGTAGCTGATCCGCGGCTTTGTTGGATGCTGTACGGATTGCCATCTGCCGGGCTTGTGGCGTCAAGCGTAGGGGGCGGAGGTCTCCAGTATGAGGAGGAAAGGTCTGGGGTTTGGGGGGGAGGTGTAAAGACCGCCTAGGAGAAAACCCAACTATTTTTTTAAGGTTTTGCGGTGAAGGGCTCCTTCCGTGTGGTGTTAGATGCAAGTATGAAAACCCATGGATATTTGTGTATTTCCGGGTTACGGCTTTTTGGTGAAATTGTGGTAGTTTTGTACATAGATTTCTCCGTTCGCCCCCCCTTCCCGTGGGCTAACGGCAACATTTCGACGCTTTCCGACCTAGTACATCCGGACGGTCGATATGAGTTAAACCTGACGAGGGTTGTCGTGCCTCACTGCACTCTCAAGCTGTCAAGAGTGTCGCAGTTTCCTTTTTTTGTGGGCACATGAGAAGCAAGGATCACATTTTGAAGCCGATCGTTGTGTTCATGCGACCTAGTAAGGTAGACAAGGACATATCGGGAAGGATTACGATACTATATATTTTATGAATAACCGTCTACCTATCTCTGCACGCCTCACAACGTAATAAATATGGCAGCGGCTCCCTTGCCACTTTGCACCGTAAATATGGCAGCGGCTCCCTTGTCACCTTGCACACCAGTCTACCGAAAATCGACTGCTGGGACCCAAAAAAACGGCATGGATCACGCGCAAATGCTATGCATGTGAACGAAGGGTCGAAAGGCATAAAGAGCTTGGTTCTTTCGGTTACTCTCGTTGCACCACACTGGCATTACTATGTTTCCTTTGCCCATGCAGCTAAGGGGTCATTGGACCTGGGACAACCGCTCCTTGGCGCCCTATCTCGTCTCGTACCACGTCCCGTACAACAACGGATTTTTCCGGAGCACGTTCAGCAAGACCACGGAAGGGTCCCGGTAGACAAGCGATTCTTTTCGCGGTTTGGATGGTTGGGTTTCTTCGCGACCCGCGCTGTATGGCTGCAAAGACAACCCCTCCTACGCACGACTGAGAACCATAGAAGCCGAAATCAAACCATTAGATGAGTTAGTCTTACGGTTTGATTTGGGCTTCTACTAAAGTTAGTCGTTGGGTTTGCCGAGAACCGGGCCGAGAACGATCGGCGGATCGGCGCAAAAGGACCGATATGTGTTTTCTCGCTGCCCTGACGGAAGGAACTGCCGTCGTGCAGCAAATGGGCGTAAGTAAGCCCGTAAAGGCAAGTAGTAGTCTTCCACGCGCCCCTCTGGCACCCCGGACATACCAGAGATGAAGACTGAGTAATATTATGCCATATAACATTTACTTGTTTATTTTCTGTTTTTTCGTTGTATTCAGCATTGAGGTGCCAGCGTTGTGACGGACACTTCCTGCTGAGAAACGTTCTCACAGGGCTTCAGGACGCCACATACATACGAGTACTACATACGCTGCCGTCGAGTCGTGGGTGCTAAGGACAAGGCCTTGCTTGCTTGGGATGGGTGCTACTGCGATTCAAGTGTGTAACGTGATGACAGAAACGTCCGATGCGATTGATCCCAGGCAGTTACGTAGTTCGTAGCAAGTTTGTTTGGAGATACCCCTACGAGGGGGACTTCAACAGGGACAACTGCGGGTTGCATTGCTTCGTTTCTTCTTTTGCGACGAATTATTCGTTGGCGGGACGTTCCCATGGTGGCACACACGTACTTGTTCATTGATAAGAGCGACGATAATTGTTTCACGACACTTGCCGTTGAGGAAATCGTAGGCTCCGGGACTTCGCGCTGATTCGAATCCAACCGCTGATTCGAATCCAACCCCACGCCACCAGCCGTCAGACTGGCGCAGAAGAGTGCCTAAACAAATGACAGAAATCCCCATACGACAGCAGCCGCAGCGGCGGCGGCGGCGGCGGCGGCGGCAGGCTACCTTCGGTGCAAGGCCGCTGGTTACGATACTACCCTGGAGCGCCTACCGTAAGAGTGCAGGTTTCCGCACAGGGGTCTTCGGGTTTTTCAAAGCTTTCCTACTCCGCAATCAGGAGGGTGCTGAGGCCAAACATCACGTGTAAGGAAAGACCTCGATGAGACAATTCCAAAACCACCCTTTTCGGCAGTGTTGCTATCCTAGTTGTCGAGTGGTGAGGCTTTGAAAAACGTTAACACCCCTGTGCGGAGACCCGCATCCTTACGGTACGTTTTCAGCACCCCACCCGTTGATTTCCTCATCTCCATACCCCTTGTGGAGACAATGAACTCGGCCGTTCCCTTGTCGGACAGATCGAAAAACTCCTCCTGCCAAGAGACAAAATCTGCCCCCTCAGAAGTACTCCGCAGGAGGAGGAGTCGCGTCTCTCTCCTCTCAAAGTTGCTCCTCCCCTCATCCTTGATTGTTGTCCCCCTCCTCTAGTCTCGCCCGCCGCGCGCGCGTCTTGCGGTCAACCTTCTTCAGGTTCTTGGGCCCCCTCTTTGACTTTGTGTAATCGAAATACCTCCTCATGTCGTACTTCTGCTCCATTCCGCATTGCCAGAGTTTTTTTTAGGGGAGGGTTCGGTTCCCGCGAAAGATGGTCACCGTATGCAGCCCAGTCAACAAAACGGGTTGTTCAGCCGGCCGGGCGGGGGGGAAGACGGGGCAACACCAAAAACGTCAGGGAATGCGGTAGACAATAGCAGCACAGAGACCGAAAGGTACTATCTATGCAGTGTGCGCATGCTTCGCCTACAGCATGACACAAGGTAGGGTTCATGCAGCTTCATTCTAAACCCTCTTTTCCAAGTCCCACACTCCACCGCGTCTGTGTACTTTACAACATACTCCAGAAACGGAAGTAAATCAATCTGACGGGAGGTAAGCCGTCGGAGCTCATAACATTGAAACAGGTCACAAACGACAAGGGTCTCAACAAACAAAAACAAATACCACCGTGTTGCCGGCTCTGTACTGTAGAGGTCGACAGCCACCGTGAGGACAAGACACAAACAACGACACACACACACACGCGCGCGCGCGCGCATTTTGGGCCCCCTCCAGCCCCCCCCCCTCGGCGTTCGCCATCGGGATTGGGTTTCCGTCGCTTGGCCACGACGTTGTAAAACAAGCCAATTCACTTCGTGAACTCGGCAACCAGGTTACCGGTTTTTTTTTTACCTCTGTTTTTTTTTTCACGGTAACCATAATGATGGTCGAGTAGATCATGTTGTGCGGGGTCGAGAACCCTCACTCCGCGCAAGGGGGATGATCGCACCACGTTGTGTTAAATTGGTCAAGCACCCTCGAGGCAGTTACACAGTGCTTACAACTGTCTCTGGAAATGAAGCACCAAAAAATAAATCAAGTCATACGCAGCTGTCATCCGTATGCAAGGAAGTGAGCACAAGATGCCGAACACCCTTAGCAGGATGCAGGGCACCCTTCATGCGACTCGCCGAATACCTCACGGCGCTTCGCGCTTGGTGACGTGATAGCCTGGTCCGGTGAGGACCCGGCGTGCTCCGTCCCGGCATTGTAGGGATGCGAGGTCAATGGTCTAACGACTACGGCATGCACGACTATGAATACACCCCCCCTCCAGGGACCTTGATTTTACCCGCTGACACTGTCTTGTCTTTCCATTGGTCAGGCGGTTAGCGCGGTCGATGCCAATACCAAAAGACACACACGACAACCACCACGACGGTGACGACGACGACGGACGAAGCACGAGCGACCCACCTTTCCGGTTTGCGAGTCGACCACCTTGGTGACATCGTCCACCTCCTCCGGAGTGTTGATGTCGGCCTGCCTCAGGAGGTCCAAAACTCCCGTCTCCTTCACCTGCGGTAGAATTGATGAACCGAACGGGCCCGCACTTGGAGGAAATAAATCGAAACAGAGGCCCAAACTTTCACGGAAGTAGGTCTTATGAAACATAGCACAGAGGGTGGATCCCACACGGAACTCTATATAACAACCTGTGCTCCACAGTGGGTGGCGACGAAATAAGAAACTGTGTCTCGACCCGATTTTGACATTTCTTTTCTCCGGACCGTTCTGTGTTGTTCGCTACACCGGCCGACCAAATAGATCACGACTATTCTCCTCCCACCCTACCCCCGGTGTTTGCCATCGGTGTTAGGGCTTTTATCGTTTGGCAACGACGTTGTAATACAAGCCGATCACTTCGTGAGCTCGGCAACCAGGTTACCGGGGGAGTTTGCCTTTTCTTTTTTTTTTGGCGGTAACCATAATGGTGGTCCAGTAGATCGTGTTGTGCGGGGTCGAGAACCCTCACTCCGCGCAAGGAGGATAATCGCACCACGTTGTGTTAAATTGGTCAAGCACCCTCGAGGCAGTTGCACAGTGCGTACAACTGTCTCTGGAAATGAAGCACCAAAAAATAAATCAAGTCATACGCAGCTGTCATCCGTACGCAAGGAAGTAAGCACAAGATGCCGAANGTCATGGCACCTAGGTGGATCCTGGTCCAGCAAGAGCGGTAGAATGGTGCTCAGCTCCCTCGGCCGGAGGGGAAGCAAACTCTTCCTGTCTCTCTACTCTCTTCGTTTCTCTGTATCTTTGCTCCCTCCCCCCCCCCCCCCCCC